GTTTATATTTGGTATCATCTCCATACATTGAAACTTCTTTCACTTTAAATTGACTAATGACTGTAGGGACATCCTCTTTCTTGTAGTGGCTCGTCTCACAAGTACCAGAGCAACCGGTAATTGTTGTGGAACGAGTCACATCCAAGTTTGAGTTGAATGGTCCTTGCTTATTGATGTTTGAAACAAGATTATGAGTACAAGCATCGCCGGTTACACTCACAATTTGTTCAATTTCAGTTGTTGGTGGACGACCTGTATGTGGATTATGGACTAAAGACCGGTCTATTTCTTCAGTCCTTGGGTGTTTAAATGTTGATCTCTTTCAATTGGTTTTGGTGATGATGATCTTGGAATTCTGGCAACGGCTGTGGTATTAGGGCAATTCCTTGCATAATGCCCTTTTTCATGACAACGAAAACACACGTCATAAGACCTATCTGGACTTCTTCCTGTTGATATGGACCTTCGATTCGGACTACTAATAGATTGTCTGGAAACAGCCATCAGAATTTTCGAAACATCATCTTTAATGTCACCAATGTCCTGTTCGGTCTTCTTAAGACGCGACTCAACTGAGGACTGCCAATCAGAAGATGGAGTCTGTCTCCTGTCGTATGATGTTGAAGATCTCCTATCATACCTTTTTAATGCTCGAACAGCAAATTCTGAAGATTCTGTTTCAGAATCAGTATCAGAGTCAAAATGAACTCTTTTGACAACCTTTGTCTCTTGCCGAGCACAATTCTTTGATTGTGTATTGAACTCTTATCACACTGTAGAGCAGTATCTAGTGTAACTGGATTCTTCTCCATAGCGAAAAGAGTAGCTTTCTTGTCGCTACAGCCCTTTAAAAATGCATCTACGCTTATGGTTTCAACGACTTTTTCAGGTGTATTTGGTCCGTACCCATCAGTAGCCATTTCCTGGACCCTTTCTGCAAACTCCTCTACTGTTTCATCAATATTTTGTCTTACTTCCTGTAATTGCCTTCTGATGGTATAGGGTAGGTCTTTATTTCCGAAACGTTGATTCATCTTTTCTGAAAGTAGTACAAAATCATTTTGGACTGATGGCGGACGAGTACTTTAGAACTTCAGTGCTTTATCACGCAAACATTCTATAAGTCTGTCTAATCTTTGCTTAATATCCTACCTGTACCGATTGGAAAAATGAATAAATTGCATGTAGTAGGGTTTCCATTCTGTCTTCCCATCATAGCACGGAAGCCTTTGTGGTGATGGACCACTACTGTTAGGTTGTTTGTTCTCCTCAGGTATTTGGACAGTGTTTGACGTGTCAGTTACTTTTAAAGCTTCTGTAGCTTGTATATTGGTTTTAGGATTTTTTTCATGCTGTACTATTGTTTCTGTAACTCTTTTGGACATTTGTAAATGTTTTATTTCTTCTTCAAGACGGTCACATTTCTTTCTTGCAAATTTTTCGCGTTCTATGGTGAGTGCCTGTATTGCCCGCTCTTCATTTAATTTAGTTATCAACTGATTTGTCTTTTCCATAAATACAGTTTTCTCACTTTCAAACGTCTTTTCTATGGATTCCATCATATCTTTCATTTCCCGTCTTTCTATTTCTAACAAATCCATTTGTTCTTTTTGTTTTTCAAGTTTTTCCAGTTTGTCTTGATCAACCTTGATCAGCAATTTTTCCTTTTCCTGTTGATTGAACTCCTGCAGAGCTGATGACTCCATTACATACTTTTGTTTTATTTCTTCTATCAATTTAGCATACTCATTCTTTTCCACCATTTCCCCTTCCAATGCATTTTGCAAATCTTTTATCTGATGTTTTAATTCATGTTGTATGGTTGCCTTTTCTTGAGTTGCAATTGAAAACCGTGTGTCAAAATTGTTCTGAATTTTTTTTATCTCCTGTTCAGCATCTTGTTTTTGATTGACAAGTTCTGTTTTCAACTTCTCGATTTGTTTTTTCTTATCCGCACTGTCATCAACTTCTTCTCTGTTTTCAAAAATAATTCGACCTGCTGCTACGAGAGGGTCCCACATAGTATTTGGAAGACCTTGAATTAATTTCAAATCCTCAAATGTTAATTTTCCCTTATCTTTCCTTGCAGCAATAATAAGTTTAGCTCTTGCCTCCCCAATATCTTTAATTGTAATCAGTTCTTCTTTACTTCCGTGTTTATATTCACCACTTTCGACATGATTGCTTTATATTGTATTATGTCAATATATGGCTTAGTTTACACGCGATATATGGATGTAAATTATTTACGGTGTGTAACAATAATCTAGACCGACAAATGTAATACTGACTAGATCTCCCGGTATAAAATATTACACCTGTGCAACAATAATATAAGACAAATGTAAATATTGACCAGATCTCCCGGTATAAAATATTCTCTAATTCTTTGACAATTTATACCTTTCTGCACTCATTGTATAAAAAAATTTAATCAACGTGTGGTTGCCGGTGATCTCAGAAGATGATTGGATGAATTTAAGGGTCATAACCTTTATCAGCTCAAAATATGCTAACAGGTGTTAATGAAATTGACAACTTTGTGAAATGTGGAAGGCACTCGAAGGGGGTTTTTGTTTAACAAAAAATGAAAATGTATTTTTTAATCATTAGAGAAACAGATTCTTACATAGTTACTCGTAAATTATCGGATTTATCCAATCTCGATAGTTAAATTATAAATTTTAAAGTCCTCGCCAAGGCTCAGACTTTAAAATTGATAATTTAACTATCTCGATTGGATAAATCCGATAATCCACTGGTATCAATGTAATAATCTATATTTACACCTGTGAAATCAATAAATACAAAATTGGCTCTTAAGTGTTTGGTTTTTTTTTTTATTATTATCAATGTTCTGTTAAATGCACTTGTAATTTCCAATCCAGCTCAACCGGAAAATGAAAAAGTACCAATGCAGTTAACAAAAATGTATTTTTGTATACATGAGTATAATTCAATCCAGACCAACCGGAAAATTGATTAATACTAATGTACTGTCAGTTAAACTTAGTGTATGCTATAAGAACAAATATTAACTTGTAAATATTTAAGTGTGACTGAACAAAATTGAAATGAACACTTTATTTCAATATTGTTTTTGTTTTTTACAAATGTTCTGCTCCCTGTAATATTTAAGCACGTAAATATTGAACAGAAAATTTATGTTACTTCAGGGGAATCAATGTGAGTGTGTATGCAATAGTTTATTACAGACCCACGAGCGAAATCACGAAAATATAATTTTCTGAATCCCGCCAAATATGAAAATGTCCGCGTCAAAATAAACACAGAAAAATTTCCATTTATAGCCACGACAGCGTTCACAACTGACACCAATGAAGCTGTCTCAGTTACGGGCGTTAACACTCATGGCTACAAACCTTTAACAATCTGTGTATAGGTAGACTTCGTTGTCTTCGAGATACCAAGATCAGGTAGTACGTCTTGTTGGGTTGAACTGTGTCATCGAAGTGAGGTAAATTTCTGGTGTTGCGCACTGTCACGTAAATGTTCCTCCGTGATTGAAGCACCTCGATATTGAACTTTACCACAAAGCGGTGATTGCGCGGGAAACGAAAGGACATCTTCGTATCAATACGGTAAATTCCGTTTTTGAATATTTTTTAATCAATATCTTCAAGCAATGAAAAATATGAGGATAACATTTTTAATCATAGAGCACACGTTTTGTGTATTTACTATTTAAAATTATAGTTTATGAAGAAATATAGCAAAACATGTTTCAATACGCACTATAAAGTGAAGATTAGATGTATTATTGTTTTGTTTTTGAAAGAACATTAATAATCCATAAATACACACCTTTGTACCAAAATTGCAACAAAATGTCAAGATAACATAAATTTCATCATCACAGAATGATATTATTTGCTCAAACTGACAGGGCTTCGTGAACTAAATTTGGCTTAAATTATGATAGCAATTGAACACTTCATTATAGTTTCTACCGATGACCTACTATCATGATTTTTATCCGACCCCACTTACGGACGCGTTGACATATAATGCATACAACTCAATAATTGCCAATCAGACGTTAAGATATCCTTCACTTCCCCCAGAAGCAGCCCGGAAGCAGCTGAGATGCAGCCATTTAATGTTATTTATAACCAATGAGATACCGTTAACACATTTACCACATTCCAGACGTCCAGCCTCTGACTAATCATAACAAGTTTGCTATTAAAGGGGCGCAATTGGTCATACCTACAACCTGTCGATACACTTTATTGTCGAAACGTACATAAATGCTATTAAGGAGAAAATGAACCGCTTCAATCATCTCATCATACCTCCAGTAAGTATATCTATCATATTTACCTTTCTCATTAGAGAAAAGTCTTTAAATGAGTTGCAGCATATATATTTGCAGTTAAATTTTTCAAACGACCATCTAATTATATTGGAAAAATTTTGTTTGATAAGATTTTGTGGAAGTGAAGTGCAAAGAGTTAAAAAGTTCAAACTGTCAGCAGAATCAAAAGGACCATCAAAAGCACGTATGCATCTATAAAACATCCAAATAATTTTTTACACTCCAAAAATAGTTATAATTTCCACTATTTTCATATTTTTTATTGCAACAGTTAATGATAAGTTCTTTGATAGTAGTTAAGGAACTAGTTAACAGCACGGAAAAATTAGTTGTAGAACACTACTAGAGGCCGAGATGGAACGATATTTTTACCGTTTTTGTGTAGTTTAGGTAACCAATACATATAGTAGGGAACTTCAAATGTTCAAAAGAGGCCTAAAGCTGTGTTTTACAGAATACCTCTGTTAATGTTATAAATATCACAAAGATGTATAGCATGTGTTCTTGTTTTTCAATTATTTTTATGGTTTTTCAATTGTTTATTTGCTACTTTCGTTTTGAATCCAGTATATATATCTTACAAATTTCCAATCTATTAATAGGTTTCAAAACTTTGTTGATTTATTTTAAGATTCTTTCTAAACTAAATTAAATATTTTGTAAATTTTCATTGATAAATTGCTAGAAAGATTGATTGAACATTAACAAGTATGGATTTAGATACCAGTGATGGAAAAATATCAAAAAAAGTCCATGATGAAGGAAGAAAAGATAATATTTCATGGTGCATACAGTGTCTCATACCACCTTCGTGTAATAAACATAATTCTAGACTTAACAGCTGGTTTCTAAGATCAGTAGCAACGATCATTGTGTTATCTGTGATACTCGCAATTCTTTCAGCTGTGTGTATTCACGGAAATGGTTCCGTAAGTAAATAATCTATTGTCAGACTTAAGAAATATTTTACATGCTTTATATTGCTTTAATTTAATACAGTAGTAATAATGAATATATGTTTTACTTTTTTATTTATTGCGACGGTGGTGTTAGACTGTTTTTGTACTGATGTTTTTCCTACATCCATTCTGTTGACTTTGTTGTTCCAATTCAAACATGGTTAAGATTGAAATGGAAGGGTTTATAATCTCTCAAAAATCAAAGGCTACTTTAACCCTGCCACATGAACATGCGCCTGCCCCAAGTCAGAAATCTGTTTGTTCTTGCCTTTGTTACATCATATTGATGTTTAGACTTTTGAAAAATAGGGTATTGGTGGTCGTTAATAACTTCTATTTATTCACGACGGATGATTTCGGTTACTCAAAATACGGTGGAAGTATGGTTTTTATTGGACTGTTGGTCTGATCGTCGTTTGTCCTTTGATTATGATGTTGTCGATTTTCTTGCGTATATGTTATGTATTACTCTTTTGGCAAAACTCTTGATACCGACTTCCCACAAGGCCCTACTACTGTGTCATTTTCCATAAAAACTTGATCTTGTAGAGGACATTATTCAAGAATATCAAATTTTAAATTAGAACAATTAATATTGACACAAAATATTTGGAAAGAAGTAATTTTGCAAATCCCGTTGATATCAGGCATATTATACATATAAGGTTTAGCAAGCTATAAAACCAGATTTAACCCACCATTTTCTTCTTCAAATGTCTGCACCAAGTCAGTTGTTTTCCACTCTTTCCGTTTGATTTTGTCAGTTTTTATAGACTTCTCCCTTTTTGAATTTACCTTGGAGTTCGGTATTTTTGTTATACTTTTATACCTGTGAAAAATAAGTGAAAGATACCAAAAACACCAAAAACCGAGGGGATATGAGGTGCTCAAGAAAGAGTCCATGACTTTTATAAGCAACTATTTCTAAAATGTTCAAGTTCAAACTAATCAAATGATTCTGAATCTAATAACTAACACAACTAAACTACATTTCGTAGGACCAATGACATTACACGTCATCTATTTAAAGATAATCAGTTATAAACATAAACGAAATACCCAACGATTTTTGCTCCTTATAAATATCATCAACCTTAAAAATACATTACTCGACTTACCAACGGAGCACGTTCTTCTTATTTTCGATTTAAAGTACTTGTGTACTTGTCTATCTTGAATTAATATTTTATACAGGAAGTTGGCGGAAACAGACACATTTTCCTGTTTTTATGATGGGATTGCATATACCATGTATACCTTGTCACTAATTAAGATTCTTCGACACTTGACCCCATATGTTGAAATAATTGACTTATTGACGTCGTACAATAATCGCTTTCCTGTTATACAATAATTTCCGATAAATATATAGCAATAACGTGTATAACTGTGCTGTATTAATCCCATGTACGTGCGATTTCCACGACACAGCAATTTTGTTTCTTGTCTCTTAAATCGCAAAATGCTCACATCTTGAAAATACTGACAGAACAATTTTGGATTATGGATCTTCCTCCTAAAATCAGAATGCCATTGAATTCATTTTTATTGATTTGTTGTCATCTTATTTTGTTATAAATAAAATATAAAAATTTTACGATAAAATCCTGAATAGCCTTCTCTCGAAAACATTGCGAATACGCGGAAGTATTGGCAGAATAAAACGTTGTGCATTTTTGGATCCGTATCAATATATTTGATATTGATGTTACTGATGCTATGTAGATACTGGGAGATTTTCTATTGTGATGAAGACTTCGTCCCCCAATATCAAATTGAAAATGTCTTTATCGTTTTTATTAGCAGTATACAGGTATTAAGTGGAGAGGACAGTATTTTACAGACCGAATAAACAATGTATAACTTCACTTAGTATAAAAATAGCAGGGGTATCACAAAGTAGTATGGCCGGTTCAAAAATAAAGATAATAATAGATATAGACAGCGATATATATAAAGAATGATCCAAAATGCATTCAAATACTGCCGCAACTGTTTCTGCTACGGAACAAAAATGTAAAAGAGAGACGCAAGATACCAAAGGGACATTCAAACTCATAAGTCGAAAATAAACTGACAATGACTGGGCAAAATAAAAAGAAAAAGACCAAAAGACAAACAACAGCATACATAACACAACATAGAAAACTAAAGACTGAACAACACGAACTCCACCAAAAACCGGGGCTGATCTCAGGTGCCCTGGAAGGGTAAGCAGATCCTGCTCCAAATGTTTTACCCGTATTGTTGCTCAATTACAGACCCGATGATATCCTAATTCGGTAGGTCACATTCGGAGAAAATGAGGGCAGGATTGTGGTTACGACGATTGAAACATATCCATCGTTATCTGTGAAACAGATATCCTATAACAGTCAACCAACTCGTGATGGCGTCCGTAAAATGTTCGAAAGGATGACTTCAACTTCACTACTTGGAACTCTTTGTTTAATAGCTTTCTTGTGAGGTGCAACCCTCTATCAAGGAAATCATGATAGGAAACGCAAGCCCTGAGAGATATTATTAAATATGAAGGCACTGCTTGAATGTTGCTACATAGAAATGGAAAGTTCACTATTGGGAATCTGAAATCATCTCCCTTGTCGTTAAGTTTTGTGTCAACTGACCGTCATTGTCAATTCCTAGATGTAAGTCAAGATATGAAGCTGACTTAATTGTATCTGTTGGATCCTTTATTTCAAGATCGTCAGGATAGTTGCGTTCAACATAGTCACAGACCTTTGAATTATTTAGTTAGAGGACATCATCTGAATAGCGCAAAATGAAGTCAAAGGATAATGTTAGCTTCTTTCCTAAGAAGCTCCTGTATGAAGTCAGCCTCATATGAATAAAGTACCAAGTCGGCAAGAAGAGGAGCACATTTTGTTTTCCATGGGAATGCCGACTGTTTTTTGAAAAACATGTTTTTCAAACGTAACAAATATATAACGAATCAAACATCTTGATAATGTCAGTTTCAGAGAATTTTACAAATCAAATTAAATTCTTCCAAAAAAAAAAACGATAAATTGATACCCAATTTTGGTTAAATTATTCCTTATTTTCAGAATTGTGTACCATTTCAACATTGTTCAAACCTAGTCACTTAATTTAAAAAACGTACAACCTCGCAGAAAAGGTTAACCTGAGTACTTATTACCAATATGTATTACATGTATCACGTATCGTTTACTTTTACTGATTTGTTATTTGTAAATAATGATTTTTAAGTTAAAAGTTTGAAATTGTTCTCGTCTTGATACTGGAAACAAGAATGTTAACACTTTCTGTATACAGAACACAGAAAATGTAACATGAGCAAGAAAATGTGCGTTTCCAATTCCGTTTTTTTCCTTTCTTTTTTATTAGGGAGAGGGGGGGGGGGGGGAATTTGTTGCAAAAGCATTCGCTTTGTGTGAACTACTGACACATGAAAAATCTTCAAAACAAAAGTTGAAGGAAATTAGTGTGACACAAATATTGTTATAAGTGAGCATTGGGCTTGAGTATTAGAGAAAATTGCTGAGCATAAGTTATAATGAACAATGTTCAGATAAAGATAAAAACCCTTGTGGTCTAACATTTCTAACTTTCTTTGTTATGTTGAGTTAGAAAAAAAATATTTCAAAGCAAACAGCTGCTTAGAAAATCAAATTCTTTTCTTTGTGTGCAAAATAATAAGATATACTGATATTGGTTGATACTTAAGTCCAAAACTGTTTCAGAAAATGTGAACATGGAAATTACAAAAAAACACGACGGTATCATTAGCTCAGTAGTCATTGATTATGTTCTGATATGATAAAACATACCTTTCTTAGATTTTCCGTTGATAAAATAAGTAAGTATTAAAAACTATGGTTCCAACACCCTCAGGAAAGGTCAACCTTGTATTGATTTGGTTATTCTTGTTGGTCCTTGTTGGTTATATAGCTTCTCACGTATTCAAAAACTTAAGCATCCTTAAATTGACTTTCAAATTTGTTGCCTTGAGCGTTCCTGATGATGGTAAATCAAAAAATAAAAGCACTTACTACGCACCAAATTTGTAATTTCATCATTTATTAATTCCCATTCAATTTTTAACTTTGTTTCTGAAAATGTTTAAAACATTATTCTAACATTTATATCAGAAATATAAACATTTGACAGATATACTTGAACATTTCATGTTTATCGCAAATTACTTGTAAAACGTATAGAAGATATGATTTAAGTATAATGTTACATAGTTTGACAAATGCCAATAAAGAGAAAGTCAAAACTGAAGACTGTCAAAGAATGTAATATGTCCAGAATACTCGGAAAAGTAATAGTTGTTATTACAGGATCACTGTAAAGTTTGCATTGTTGGACATGCATCCGCATCATATAGCAAGCTTTAAGTCTCCATTGCCTTTACTACTTCTGGATGACTGAACAGAGAGAGGGTACAAAAATATTTTATATCAACACATATTTGTAATAGAGATAACATAGTACCAGACAACAAGTGACCGGGTTTTCCTTCTCTAATTGGAATCAGATCAGGTCGGAATAGAATTACAATTAATCCGTTAAATGATAGACAGCTGGACACAGCCATACCCTTTGTATTGCAAAAACACTACAAGAGCAACATTGTAACAGAGGCGAAAAATATTATAGGGACATTCAATGGAGGGTAGCTTGCATCTTCGCTAGCCAAGGGTTACGATCCACTTCCCTCCTCTTCACCCTTGGCAGATTTAGCCAACATTTGTGATAACAATGTTGCGCCATCTATCGGTAGATTAAAGTCACGCCCATTCCGAATACATTATTCTTGACCAATGGTAGCACTTGAACTCTTCAATTTGGAGGTAAAAACACGGTAGCGTCTAGATTCTACACACTTGGTAAAGCAGGAAACGAAAATATACGTTGATATTCATGCATTTGTGCAAGAAACATACACAGGAACTTCTATTAATTGATTAAAACATTCAAATTGTCACTAAATATAGTCGTATGTTTAGGGATGTAAAGACTTGTTGCACAATAAGCACGTGGCAATTGTTTACATACGAAAATCATTACCTTGTGTCCCCGAAATTCTATATCAATCCGCCAAGGGTGAAGAGCAGGGAAGTGGATCGTAACCCTTGGCTAGCGAAGATGAAGGGCTTGATGTTGCTATTTGTAAGTAACATTGTCATGAGTATTTCCGGAACCACATCCGTGGTAATAAAAAGTAAAATTCTAGTGTTCAGCACTTATAAATTCTAACTTGCTCTTTGTTTGACATTTATATGCATCATACACAAAAATGAAGATATTTATTAAAGTAACTTTACCTTACATGTTTACTTATAGTTAGTTCTCAACGACTACATTCTATGTTCTGTCAGTGAGTTTATATTTTCTGGAGAACATAATGCTAGAACGATTTTTATCATACTTTTCAGATACAAAGTTGGAATATCCGATTCCAAGTAGGTTAAAACAAATAACTGATTATACATTGGCCCTTCCTCCTTTTTATATATTTAGAAAACTATAATTGTTTACATAATACCCTTTTAATACTTATATAGTTAAGGATATACATCCAGTGTATCATGGTTGTATATGATCACGTGAATACGCGGAGGTATTGGCAGAATAAAACGTTGTGCATTTTTGGTTCCGTATCAATGTATTTGATGTTGATGTTAATGATGCTATGTAGATACTGAGAGATTTTCTATTGTGATGAAGACTTCGTCCCCCAATATCAAATTGAAAATGTCTTTATCGTTTTTATTAGCATTATACAGGTATTAAGTTGAAAGGACAGTATTTACAGACCGAATAAACAATGTACAACTTCACTTAGTATAAAAATAGCAGGGATATCACAAAGTAGTATGGCTGGTTCAAAAATAAAGATAATAATAGATATAGATAGCGATATATATAGAGAATGATCCAAAATGCCTTCAAATACTGCCGCAACTGTTTCTGCTACGGAAAAATTTGTAAAAGAGAGGCGCAAGATACCAAACGGACATTCAAACTCATAAGTCGAAAATAAACTGACAATGCCATGGCAAAATAAAAAGAAAAAGACCAAAAGCAATACATGTTTACCCTGTTTCATATTATCATTGAAGAACACCTCTGACGAGAAAACCTTTCCGGGAGATAAAGTTTGTGTTGCCAGAAGTCAGTATGAGGCATTGAAAAAGATGGAGAAGTCGTCGAAAATAAATATACCTGGAACAAGTGTTTGGAAGGTAAAACATATATCAAGTTGTATTCTTTTAGGCACGCTATTTTTGCAAGTATTTCGGAATTAAAAGAATATTGAACGATCATATATTGAATAACAATAAATACTTCTGTTTACCTTAATTTTTAAGTTAAAATTCGAAAAAAAATTTATTATGTAGGAATCTCTTCTCAAACTTATTGCAGTTACATGACCGATAAGAATAATTGTATAATTTCATAACATTCTAATATTTAAAATAAGTTGGCAAACAATACATGCACAAGAACCAATGATAGAATCTGCTCTTAAATTCAGTACACATGAAAAAAGTAAAATCACAAAAATACTGAACTCCGAAGAAAATTTATAAAGGAAAGTCCCTAATCAAATGGCAAAATCAAAAGCTCAAACACATCATACGAATGGATAACAACTGTCATATTCCTGACTTGGTACAGGCATTTTCGGATGTAGAAAATGGTGGATTAAACCTGGTTTTAAAGCTAGCTAAACCTCTCACTTAATGAAAGATCTTTTCATTAGCCCAAAAGCTGCAAACCTAAAGAATTTCAATCTGTAAAATATGAAAACAACACGTTATAAATTTTAATGCGTCCGAAGCACTTTTCTGGATTAACCTTCATCAGGAACGCTCAAAGCCGAATATTTGAAAGCCAAGGATGAATAAGGATCTAAACACTTGAAGAGCTATATGACCAAAAAGGACCTACCAAAATAAACAAATCCATCTAAAGTCAACTTTGCCTGAGGGAGTTGAAACCTTATAATCTGTCAGTGTGTCTTCAATACTTTTAAAGTTGTCCTGTTTTTATAAGTAATGAATGATATATCGACATGATAATTGGTAAATTATAGTTTTAAGTTTAGTCTAAGTTTACATATCGTACAAGGACTATGACATCATAAAAAATATAATTGATATGATATCTCCGAGTTCGAATTCCTCAATTGACGAGGCCAATGGTGTAATACTAGCAATCGGCCAGTAATTTAGGTGTTCCTTGCTCCACCATATCCCTACCCGTTTTGAACATCAACCTTCCGAGAATCAGAGTTACATATCGAAGGATTGCACAATTACACGAAACTAATCTGAATGATAAAAAGAATTATCAAAAATAACGACAAAGAAAGAAAATCGGTTTATGCAGACACAATCCTTATTTATTTAACAAACTTTCTGCCTCTATTCTTGTATACGTGCGGACCTCGGTGGCCGAGTAGTCTAAGTAGTCGAACTAATATATCACTAGCCTGTCAACACTGATGTTGTGATTCGAATCCGGCACGTAACAGGTACGTTCGACTCCAATCTCAACTGAATAGGATTGTCAGTTTTCCTACCGAATTTCGGTGGTTATCTCCGGCTGGCACTCCTTCTTCTTCCATCAATAAAAACTGACCGCCACGAAATAGTGCAATGGCGCAACACCAAACAATCAAGCAATTAATCAATCTTGTATAAGTTATTATTCAAATTCTTTAATTTTAACTGATTTTTGCAACAAAGAACTTCATATAACACGGAGAGAAGGCCTTACTCGTCGGTTTTCTTCTTTTTTTGGCCCCCTGAGTACTATAATTCTAACAAATAACATACCTCAGATGTTGACAAGACAGGACAAAAGAGGCCTTACCATAGCTTCTATTACGCGGTAGAAAATGTTTGTATAACTAGTTTGTACCTGTATTAATTAGGACAGTTATCGATGTTCATTAATCAAAACGATTTTTTTCTTTATAGGCCAGGTTTGTTTTATTGTAAGTCCACTTGACTTCACTAATTTGAATCAATAGGATTTTTCTTAACTATGTCATCGCTGAAATAGATGAGTTTTGTTTTATCCTTATTCATTTTTCCCTTAATCAATATTTGCCTAGTACATATTATTATATAATTAACAAATGTTTACATTTCTTTCTTCCAGAATAACACAGATAGTTGATAAAACGTAACAAACGCATGCTGTCGTTTGATATGTGATTGAAGATGAAAGTTGTGGCGACATATTCTTCGTGTTCCCTGAACATTCACTTATTTATTCCATTTATTTTGCGTTATTAACAAGGAATCTATGGAGATTTACAATAAAAGGATGATACTCAAAAAACACCTGACCAATCATTATTTTATAGACAATCTAACACATAATGCTACGTATATGTTCCAACTTTGTTCATTTTATTGATAACATTTTATGTCGGCTGGTCGCATATGTTTTACATGAATGTTTTACATGTATTTATTCATTAATTGTTGCATTTTTTAATACGAAGTTAACAAAACAAGATTGTATATGTTCATTTATTATTTGTCACTGGACGTTAAGAGCATACGATACAGTTTTGATCCCACGGTAATTTTTTGACGAAAGTTTGCATACAAGCTATTTTTCACTGAGTCAATTCAAATATGAAATAAAAAATATACCTTCATGTGCTAATGTTAGAGATAAATGGGGTCTAAATTTTTGACATTTACTGGAAATTTCGGTTTCTTGGACATTTCTATCCTTCGGAAAGACATACCTAACTTTTTTGTTTTAAAAGACAAACGCTAGCGGATTTTTGTAAAAACATTTGGAATATCTTCTCTACATAAGTTTGCTTTGCATTTGTGAAATAATTCTTTGGAAATAATTCATTTTTATCACACTTTCCAGGTTTTAGTTATAAAGAAACGGCATTTCTTGCTGTATATTTTTCTAATTTAAAAAATTTCATCGGTGACTTTTTCATAAAAATTTGCACAAATAATCTCTTCACATAATCAAGCCAAATGTCATTTTTAAAAAGAGGGGCCCATGAACTCGTTTTCAAGTTAAATCAGTCTGAATGATAAAAATCAGTCGAAAAATACATCTTTTCCCGATATGTCACAGTTTGACGTCGAGAAAATATAACATTTTACGTTAGCGACGTCATCCCCCCCCCCCACACTTGTAACTGTATCATAATCCCTTAAGCAACCAACAATCAATCAATTATTTGATTTATAAGCAAGGTTTTACGATTTCATTTTCCAATAGAAACATCAAGTCTTAAAATTTATTAAATATTTCAACGGTTCCTCCGAATTACAATCTAACAAATAGCATGTCGATTCAAATGCACATCATTTTTTTCACATAAAAATCACCATGAAGAAATATAATACAGCAAAATCTATGTTTTTCATCATTTAATTCAAACTTTATCATGTTCATACTGGGGGAAAAAGAATGAGATTCAAACATTCTCAACCAAAAATGACTTTTTAACAGTTCGCGATCGGTATTTTTGTTATACTTTTTTTATATAAAAGTAAACTTACGCTGTACGAACTTTAATAAAAGATGACAAAGCGTTTTTGCTGAAACCGAGAGCAACAATTGCGACATAATCCAAACACAATTAGAATATATGTAGGACTCGGAGGTGCGATAGGGACGGTGAAGTGCGATGGTCATGCTAAAGTGCGATGGTCTATTTGACGCTTGATGGCTAGTTTAATGTATACAGATGTGCAGTTATTATAAGAATTAGATTTTTTTAATAGTTGGTATATAAATTTACAAACATTATTGACTACTAGTATATATCTGTACTTAATTTCAGTTGCATACTAAATGAGAGCTCGTCCTTTTTGATTTTCTGCATGTGGACATAATTCTGCGTTATTATTTTATCTTTACTTTGTTCCTCTCATGAGTTCTTCGTTTACCATGATATAATACAGAGAGTCCCGTATGTATTAAGAGAAAGACCCGCTCCACTGTATGTAAAAAAAGAATAGTTTTTAGATTTGAAAAACTAATCCGCTACAAAAGGTAAAATTTCCCCTCTCAAACAATCACTCCCCGTTTCCCATAGTAATAAAAGATTATAAGCCCTTATTAATTTAAGAACTCGGAAAAACTGTATCTTCATGTAACAAACAAATTGACTTCTATTTCGACATGCAAAGCAATGAAAATATAGTTTATGTAGGCCATCGCACCTCGGCGTAGCTATCAACAAGATAGCGTCATAATGCAACCATCGCACATCAGCGTGACAACCGCTGTTCGGAGTACCATCGCGGTTCAGAGTCCTACATATATAATCAACTAGTCATCAAAAAGAGGCGGAAGATACCAAGGGATAATCAAATCTCTTAATTCGAAGCAAAACTGAAAACTCAAAGGCACACAAAATCGAAAACGATGAACAAACGAACCACAATTCCACAAAACACTACATAAAAATCTGGACATACCAGGACGAACCCAATCAAAAACAGGAGATGACGGTGCTTCAAAAGGGTGCGCATTTACTGTGTTTTTACATGTGGTACCCGTCAATTTTATTTTTCAGATACTGGTAACCAACTTATTTTCGCGTGCGATTTATTTTCGCGAGTAGAAAAATAACGCGAAAATAAATCGTCGCGAATATGTAAAACTTGGATTTTTCCTTATTTAACTACATCAAGCATATTTGAAAATCGCTAAATTGAATCGTCGCAAAATCTGCTAGTAAGGGCTAAACGCGAAATAAAGTATCCACAAAAAAAAGTTGGTTTACAGTAATTTAGATATTTTTAGATTGCTACTTTGAGTAACCAAGACAGTCAGTCAATCAAGCTTAAGCAGCATTAAACAAGTATTAAATATTAAATGATTAACCGGGAAAAGAGATTATTTACATGAAAAGCGCACTCAGAGACAAGCAGGGCTAACAAAGATACCTCGCAGACTAAGTATATGCATTCAAAAGGCAAATAGAACAGATGAAGTAAAAAAAGGACAATTCAGTAATCAATATATACGGTAGAGGCATTTTCTAAATTTAGGCATTTTATAAAATGCCTGCAAGATTCAGGCATTTTACATAATGACTAATTTTTCCAGGCATTTTACAAAATGCCTGGAAAAATTGAAAGTCATTTTACAAAGCCTGAAATTATTTTATAGAATGAAATGTTATAAAAAACAACTGAAAGCTTTAAACAACAGAGCAGTTCTATTTATGATAATTACGGAATGTTAAAGCTTGCAATTTAAGAGTTTTAGTAATCAAAAATAAGTTTTACTGAATTATTCCAAATTCACACAAGCACAGAACTCGACAATTATTTGTTATTTCTTAAAATGTTTGGATGACAGAACTGTTACAAAATATTTGTCCTGAATTTTTGCAAATACATTGTTTGGCGTAAAATCTGGTGTTAGCACTTCTACCACATTTGGAGAAACCTGGATCATGACACATTTAGCTCATTTATTACCTTTTCTGATCAAACACTTAACGTTCGGCAACTTTGGGTTTCACATAAGCACACACGTCACACATGAATATCTTCTTTTTCATATGTTCCTAAAAGATTCAAAGTACATTATCATGACTAGTTTGACTTATATCTTTTAGCTTATAGCTTTTAACGGACTGAAGCAGATCTGCCCATGACGGGTGATGCATCTATAACAGGAGACTCTTACCCTGTCAATGCACCGTTATTTGTCTCTTCTTGGTCGATTTTCGAGATTTTAACCACAGGTAGTTACTGTCTCATTAATTCATAAGATTGCAAAGACACAGGAATTTCCTTGAGGAAGTGACGATTAAAATACCCATATCTTTGCATCACAACCAAACACGGCCTTGCATGGCAAAACCCATGCCATAGAGGGGAATTTGCATTGATGTGGATGTATAAATTCTCATTCTTTCTGAATGGAGACATTAAATTTTGCCGCATGTTAGTAAAGTGCAACACTCTCTCCATATTTTAAACTCTATGACCGTTCTGCAGGTGGAATTTTCTGTCCCTATCCAAAATACCTTCATTTTTTAGCGGCAGTCGAAATTCCTATCCTTTATCCGGGTTTAACCCATATGAATTATAACCAAAAAATTAAATCACAAAAATACTGAACTCCGAGGAAAATTCAAAACGGAAAGTCCCTAATCAAATGGCAAAATCAAAAGCACAAACACATCAAACGAATGGACAACAACTGTCATATTCCTGACTTGGTACAGGCATTTTCTTATGTAGAAAATTGTTCTCGTCTTATATAATTAAAAATGCATGAACTATTTGCTACTGAAGGCAAACAAACAACAAGCAGTAAATTAAACACAAACTTCTTTTTTTCTGCTTCACATGTTTCACTTCACTGTTTTGAATATGGATTTTCTAAAACTTCGTTTGTAAATTTTGTTCTTTTGAAAGAACAGTTTGTCCTTCTGCTATTTTGACAAAATAATCATAAATTTACTATCTGAAATACAGAGTGAGTACATACTTAACGTAGTTTCACTAAAAAGAACATGTCATATGACATACAAACTTTCCCAGCTTGTTTTTGAAAAATAAATTAATTCTACCGAACCATTAGTTAATTTCTTTGCAAGATGTTGTGTTTTTATCCACTTTTTGTCATTTGCATCTCAATGATATCCCTTTTCTACAAATTGCCTGAAACTGAACAGGCAATTTGTTGCATTTTGTTTCAAAATTTCAGTCATTTTACAAAATGACTAGATATTTTTAGTCATTTTATATAATGCCTGTCAAGGTTAGGCATTTTATATATTGCCTGAAAATTCAGTCATTGTACAAAATGCCTAAACTTAGAAATTGCCTGTAACATATACATGTAATGCAGAATCATTCACAGCTACTGACACAGAATATATTAAAGAACAAATAGTTTATTCTCTGGCGAGCAGAAATGTTTCTAAAATATATCCCTAGCATTTCGGAAAAGCTTATTCATGCACATAAAAAGCGGCATGCACGCAATCACCATCAACGGGAGAGAAATAAACAATTTCATTAAATTAACGTTTTATCAGAATCGAAACCGAAACAGGAATGAAATCTAAAACTAAATATTCTGTAATCCTTTGAATATACAATACACCGAATTTCACGTGAAAGTAGTATACGTATTTTTCAATCAGAATATCACAATGCAGATTTGAGAAATTTAGACAAAGCGAAAGTAATTTTTCAAATATTATGGAGTCTTCTATACAGAAGTGACCTGTCTTTCGCTTGAATGTTTTGTAACTACAACTGCATGTAACATCATTACGGGAAAACATTATTTTGTAGTCTGATTTTACGGGAAGTAGTTTCCTATATCACTTGTCCTAATTTGTTTAATGATGGTTAAATATTAGAAAAAAAACCAAAAAAAAACCCAGAAAATAGAATTACATTTCACTGTAGCAAATTGTCAAAATTAAAAGAAAAGTGGGGTTCCGGTCAATGAAACACCAGGCCAACGAAACAAAGAAGTCAACATATCAAAAGTTAAAAAAAACAATCATTTTAACTGACACCAAATTCCAATCAAAGTACTGAAGTACTGAACATCGGATGACCGCAAGTTCTGGTGGATGGTCACAAGCACTTGTCTCAGAAAAAAATCACATCTCTATACATGAAAGTTCGGTTAGGGTAGAGAGATATATTTTTCCTGAGACAAGTTCGTGTGTGAATGATAAATAAATGACAGGGAATTCAACCACACCATAATAACTATTATATTGTAGTGATATTATTATTTGTTATCAGTATACTCTGGTTTGTTGTTATATATTATATTTATATTTGTATAATAGTTATATAAAACTTTCATCCATTTGTATATCATTCTATTCTACTCTTTTAATGATAGTGCAGTGCAAGTGCATGGTGGACACTCTTCTGCAATAATTCGTTTTTCTAATAGATTGGATTTGAGTAAGCATTCATATTTTCCCGCGTTTGTCACAAAACGTTCTTGAGATATTCTTCCGCATGCGTTAACACAAATTATCGGTATTCTTGATTTGTTATTGATATATATATTTCTCACGACAAAACATTTTCGTATCATTTATCTATGTTCTTAAAAAAATTATTTTCATGAATATTTATTGATAAAATTAATATATAACAAGCGATAAGGAATGTTATTTTGCACACGATAATATCCGCGTAATTATACGGTTATCAGTCAAAAACGAATGTCACGTGGGTAGAAATGTCTGTGGCAACAATACATCGGAATGCCCTTACGGTCATCCGATGTAAAGAGGATAACAACATCATGATATAATACGAGATCACTATGAACAAGATTCCTCGCTTGAACATTTGCTACATATATATTAATTCAATTTGACGTTGATTAATTGATTGGTGATATTTAACGCCACTTTCAAAACTCTTCTATATCGTTGTGGCAAGTTTAAATTGGTACAGAACGCCGTAGTGCCCGTAGAACACTACATATCTTAGATACGAAAACTGGCCATCCTAGTTAAGATTAAGGTCAAACGCACATTGTCATGAACGGGTTTGAAATCACAACCTCGGTGATGATCGATAATTCTGTTTTCTTTTGATTGAAATTTAGTTCTATTACCTTTTGTATATTGGTGTTATATAACAGAATAGTTCGCATGATGAAAAACACATTATCCCCCCTTTCCCTAAAAAATAAAAGGATTAAAAAAAAAAAGAAAAAGAAAAAGGAAAAAAATGCAAACACTTGCTTTATTATCTATCAGCTTTTACTTTTTTGCAAATAAACACTTACGTAGTTCGGTAATTTTTCACCTATATCAAATAAAAAAGAGAAACAAATTTTCAACGAGGGATTCGATAAAACGTTTTGGAATAAAAGTTACAAATGTAATACAAGTTTCAATATATATGTTTGGTTTTCAACATTATCAATGAGCTTTATATACAAAAAACGGCAAAACATATTGATTTAAAGTTACAACATTTGTAATTGATTATAGTTTAAACACAAATTTTCTCATCTATAGATGATCCGAAAGGTCTACTAATAAATAGACAAAAACAGTAAAACAAAATACCGAACTTCAAGGTAAATTCAAACAGGGGAAATTCCATAAGACCTGACAAAACCAAATGCTCAACTATATCAACCAACGGAACGAATAGAAAACAAATGTTACATTTCTGACTTGGTACAGACATTTTCTACAGAAAATGGTTGGTTAAAACTAGTTTAGCGTGTATGTTCATAGATCCAACATTGTTTAAGCAGACCAACGATTGTTCAAACGTTCGTCTTTAGTCAGTTTCTTAGGAGTATATTTTGGGTTTCCAACTGAAGTGTCATTACTGTTATGACGCAGTGTATGTAATGTGAATTACACACAAAAACAGTACTGCTTTGGGCTTTATCTGGTCTGTCGGAACACCAACATATTTCTCTCTGAAAGATTAGACTAGTGATAAGCTACAAATAGATTAAGCATGTGTGTTCATGGATATATTAAATACGTATTTGCATCAACGATCCAACAGCTTTAATACTTTCGAAAAGTGCATCAATGTTTTTCTCATTTTTTTGCCCATTTTATGACCTAATCCTCGATAAAAATCAGTTGATACATTTTGAAATTTTGATAACCATAGATTTATGCACCATGTGCACACGATACATTGTATTTCGACTCTTGGGTAACACAGACTTATAGTTACAATATGGTCAGTTTTATTATATGTGAACGGGGAATTGTACTATCAAGAAATTTAGACGTCTTCAACACATTTGTAGTCGGTAGATTTAAAGTGTTATAGGTTTTCTAATTTGAAGAATTCTATTCATAAAGAAATCCACCAAAATGAGTAGTATTGTTTTCCTTCACTGTTTAGAATATAGCAAAGTACTCTCGACCAATGAAATTGTAGAATTGGATGCCTCTTAATTGTGAAGAATGAATGAAAATCATGTTCTTAGTAAGGGATTATCCTATTATTTGGGTCTATTTACAGTTCAAAACAAAGAGTTTCTATAAATGAGTTACAACTGCCCCGAAGCACATTTATCAGATTGAAAGGATTTATCACACAGTGATTGAAACTGACTAAAAGTTGAATTGTGAAACAAACAAAAATCTCAAAATAAGTTGAAGTTTACTGGTGCAGTAAAATTGGTACCATGAATTTTATTATGAAAATATTAATAACTTCAAATTACTATAAAATTAAACAATACCAAAGCAATGCAAAAAAAAAGAAAAAAATTCTTTCAGATAAAAAATAACCTAAATCTTATTGGCTGTGAAATAACATTTAGTTGTAACTCAAATGTATTAATTGATTTAAACTGTAAATAAAAAAGGATAATTCCTCACTAAAATATTACATGATTTACATTCATACTCACAATCAGGAAACATACAATTCCTACCCTTTTCTTTCTACTGTTGTGTCACCTAATATCTATAACGCATTTTTTAAAAAATATTTCCCAAATGATAAGAAAGTCTTCACATCACTAAAACTTATCCATAAATGACATGCTGAAAAAGGAAGTCATGCATCAATTATAAACATTGCACTGACAATGAAACTAATTCTTGAATAGATCATTTGAGCCTTGAACACTTTACAATATTCTAAGTTTGTAAGAGAATGATAATCCCTTACTTCATGAAAAGTACTCGCTAACGCTCGTACTTATTCATGAAGAAAGGGATTATCATTCTCTTACATATACTAAATATCTTGTTTATCGTTACCTGATAAATATTTTATTGTTTTTTTTTTTAAACTCAACTCAAATAACTCATCTCTTTTTTAACATTGTTACAATCAATTACGAATGTTTCTTATTTTCGATTACATGACTATAAATAAACTTATATAAATCCGGAATTTTTGCATAACCGAAATGGTTTGTTTTTCAACACTCCATGAAAACGAAAGTAAATTCGTTCAAGCGAAGATAAAAAGGTTGGTTATGAAAATATTACATTCTCCATAGAAGACAGTTTAAGTGACCATATCTATCGGGATAAAGACATAAACATGCATTTCATTTTCCCTTTTTCGTGTACATGTGCAATGACTCGACTGAAACTCAATCTGAATGGAGCTCTCGCACCCCCAAGTTTAAAAATACTAGATACAAGAACTATGACGTGGTACAAAGTGTGGGTGAAACATAAAATATATACATAGGCAGCGGCAATTTGCCCGTTTGCATGTTTATCTTGATTTCAGCTCCTAATACCAAAGTAATAGGGAAAGTAGACAATATCTTAAAAAGAAATGAAATAATAGTGAGGTTTTGAAGTATGTAGCGATGGATATTACAGCGTGATTCGAACACCTTCTTCTGTCACAACGTGGTAACACCGCCTGCACTGTGACACAACCCCATGACCATTCGGCCAAAGATATCTTATGGCATTTAATATATAAATAAAGTAAATTATCATTTGTTTACTTAGACAGTGTTTACTTAAACAGTTTTATGTTTGACAGTTGATTGTATGATTTATCAGGGTTTGTATCTAACCTTTAAACTACTGTGAATACTAATGTTATTCACTTGTTCTATAAAATTTATCAAAGGAAAAAGAAAGTTTTGCTTTAATTGCCATTAATAATATCGTACTTTTTTATGGGTACTTGTTGGGGAATTTCGTTTCTACCATTTGTATTGCATTTTCTGTTAGAGGGTACGAAGGGAGAGCAAAAGCAAATATGAATGAATAAGCAAAAACTTACAGAACAAACGAACAAAAACTTTTAAAATCCAGCTAAACAAAACTAAAGTCGAAGACCGAATAAAGAGGACAATGAAATAAAAACAAAAAATAAAAAAAATCTTAAGATTGAGCAACACGACCCCACTTTTTCCGTATTAACCTGGGGATTAAGCATATGATATTTCTGATTCCAAGTGGCACTCACTGTGATGCTCATGACATGTAAAACCGAGGACAAGTCACAGTCAGTAATAAGGTTTGTCGAGAAAATTGAAAAGATCTATTACTTGTTTGTTGGGTCCTAAAGAAAGTGAGCCATGTATAGCAGCACAAAACTGAAACATTCTGTTTTTTATTTGAATTAATATTACTTCATCTTATAATGGAACCAATCAGTTAATAATATGACGAAGTAAATATATATCAAGTCAAAAAACATCATTTTCTAAAATGCGATTCATGGCTTAATTTTTTGAATTTCTTACCCAGAAAGAAAAAGATGTTATCCTATCTAAACACATTGGCTCTATTTTTTAATGTAAAAACGATTAAAATTCTATTTTTCTATATCTTTATGAAGATAATCTTATCTCATTTTTTCATTTATTAGATTAGTAATTATGACGTCAAATACGATTACTTTCTGCGAAGCTTGTGACTTCAGAGGTATCAAACAGGAATCGGTGGTGTGGTGTCATGACTGTGAAGAGGCATTTTGTTCAAACTGTGCAGATCACCATAGCAGCGCTAGGAAAACACGAGAACATATGGTCATATCAATGGATAATTACTCGAAACTACCTCCTATCATCAGGAAATTGAGCTCACACTGCGAACAACATAACGCACCGTTTCAGAATTACTGCATTACTCATGAGCAGTTATGTTGCAGAAAGTGTATTGATCCTTTACACAGTCACTGTACTAGTCTGCCAGCTGTTGATGATTTTCTAAAAGATACCAAAAGATCATTTTTGACTGAGCAGTTGTCAGAGGGTTTCAAAGATATCTATTCCTTTTGTGAATATATGGTCAAAGAAAAAAGACAGAACATAAGAGAGCTTACTTCCGAAAGCAATCAAATTGAAAACAGAATCAAACAGATACGAAAACAGTTAAATGAACAGTTGGATATTCTAGAAGCACAACGAAAAACTGCGTTATTAAAACATAAAACAGAAATCCATAAAGTTATCGACCAGCTCTCTGAACACCAACAATGTGCGGGAGAATTTAAGGACAGTTTATCTTTTATGACAGAAAATGCATCCAATATGCAGGTGTTTTTAGCATCGAAAAAGTTTGAAACGGACTTGCAGAAAGCAGAGGAATCTATCACTTCTCTACAAACACGAGGCGCTTTGAAAAACATTGTTTTCTGTTTAGATGATATAATGGTTGCGAACATAGATAGGGGTGATATCAAACTCGGTTCTTTTTCTGTAAAAACTTTACCCGCGAGCAAAACGTATGTTAAACGAAAAGATAAGGAAATACAAATGTTCATGGTTACACAAAAACCTACAATCAACAGTGTCAAACTTACTTTACTACGAAAACTGCCGTTACCAGAAGGCATGAGCGTAACGGGGTGTTTATTACTACCAACAGGTGGTATTATTATTACAGGTGATTTCTATGTTGTATTTCTAGATCCTTACGGTACTGTGAATAAGAAACTACAACTAAGAATGGCGTATGATGTCACGTGTATAAATGATAAAAAGATTGCAGTCACTGATGATGCCGAAATAACATTCATTGATAAGGAACGAAAAGAAGTTATTAAACGCGTAAGGGCTGAAGGTTACTGTTTTGGTATTTCACATTCTAAAGGATCAATTATCTATACAACGGATAAATCTAAAGTCAAGAAAATGGATTTGCGCACAGAGAGAATTACCACGCTAAATGTAGGAGACCCGATTTTTCAATCTTATGTAGTGGGATCTGAAGATAAGATTTTCTATTCGAACTGGCAGGAACACACTGTTATCTGTTACGATATCAATGGTTCTGCTCTTTGGAAATTCAAGGACGAAACTGTTCTACGAAATCCAAGCGGAATATCAGTCGACAACAATTGCAATGTTTTCGTGGCCGGACTAAATTCTAACAACGTCGTCGTTATATCACCTAATGGGAAGCAGTTCAAACAAATTCCATTGGTTGGAGATGGTATCAGCAATCCAAGGGCGATAAGTCTTGATAAAGAGAATAAATTGTTGTTAGTATGCTCAGAGAGATCACGCAGTGCAATTTATAAAGTTGAATAAATACAGCATATTACGATGTAGGATAACTGAGCATCGTAGAGTGATTGAAGTTCTTTTCTAATTTTGCTATTCTATTAAATCTATCTGCGCAGTATACTGATTTTCACAGTAAACATATGAACAAAGAAAGTGAGCATAAAATATGGAAGAACTTTGGTTCCTGATTATCGGTTCTACAATTTTCACAAGTAAGAATAATACAACGTGTCTGATTAACACAGAAAAGCGCTTCAAATGCACGAAATTTATTAAGTGTTATATTTATTAAACCTATGCCTGCAAATAAATTATTTGAAGATGACCAACGTCTGTTGAGTCCGTGTATGATTTACTACAACCACAATTATGGTCACCCGTGAGTCACTTGAAATGGAAATAGATGTTAGTGATTTTTGCCTATTGATAATTATTGCCTATTGATAATTCTTGTCTATTAATAATTCTTGCCTATTGATAATTCTTGTCTATTAATAATTCTTGCCTATTGATAATTCTTGCCTATAATTGATAATTCTTGTCTATAAATAATTTTTGCCTATTGATAATTCTTGCCTATTAGTAATTCTTGCCTATTGATAATTCTTGCCTATTGAAAATTCTTGCCCATTAATAACTCTTGCCTATTAATAATTATTGCCTATTAATAATTCTTGCCTGATTTAATTCGTTTCCCTAAATGATGACGTTCATGATAGACGATACTTGCGCTCAAAAGTTATTTTCCTACTTCTCTGTACCGAAGACAAAGTCATTATAATACTTATATATGTTTACAAGTCAATTAACATCTTAATTTCAAGAACAAGCAATCGGTTGTGTACTTTAAAAACAAGATACACGATCACCTAATTCCTCTTTATCATTTGTCTCTAGCTTACTTCAGCCCAGACAGATAAACCACTCTTACCAGAATATAACAAAGCAGAGACAAGGCATTCTGAATACAAATGACGTTTTACAGTGAAGATAATTTCATTATTTTAGTAATTGGCTTCTGTGTCTCCTACATAAAGTCATAGTATTTTTTTAAATTATTGTGTCACGAGATAAATATATGTGAATACATGTAAATTTATGAAACACATATTGAAATGATAATAATCACTCAATTGCAGAATAAAACGTTAAAGTACTCAAACGTTTGGGTGCTATTTCAAATGTACAAGCTGTGGTTCTATTTCTGACTTGGACGTTTGTGTAATTTACGAATGTAGCTTGCAAAGCAGGATATCTTTACCCTTCAAGAGCACCCTATTTAAATTCAGTTTACACGAGAGATCCAATTACTGGGACTTAAGTTTTTAAATATGCTTCCTTTCATTTTTGCTCGTTTTTTACGATTGTGCCATCTATTCCATTAAGTGTCATCCATTGTTTTATTTAATTTTTCGCTCATTTATCTATGCAAATTATATTAAGTTTTTTTTTACAAGCGATTTGATGGGTTAATTTTTATAGCGTTTGATTAGAGCGTATATATATATATAATATGTAGGAAAACATTCTTTTGAAAAGAAATCGACTGGTTAGGGTTACAGAATCAGTTGCAATATTAACATGCATGCTGTTTAATTTCCAACCATATTTTATGTATGTCATAGAATTGTGTTCACAACTTTAGAAAGACTTGATTTTACGTGTATAGTAATCATCATAATATATTAAAAAGGTTAACACCAAGTGACAACTGTTTCGTGCAAATTTAGAATTAAAACAAATTAAACATAAAACTTACTAGTTTGACTCTAAAAAGGCTGTTTCTTTGCATATTTGACCTGCCATTGTAAAATAAGTGTATGTTGGAAGAATTAATTTCTTTCTGGCCTTGTATTGACTCATCAAAACGTAATTGCAAGTTTTGTTTTTTGCTTGCGGAGAGACTCACACAAACGGACCCCCTAGTGGAGACTCCGCACTGAGAAACTGGGTTTATTTTGTTTATACCCGGGAAACTTACATATCAGAAAAGACAAAGTAAAAACAAAAAATTCTCAGGGAAAAAAACGGTCAGAAACTATTGACTGCCATCCAAGCAGTGAGAACTTTGGCACGATTTCTGCAAACATGATATCAATTATTGATTTACACCGAACTATTCCAGAGAAACTGGTGTGTTAATATAAATCAGAAGATAGTAGACGATATTAAACATGGTTTTATAGCTTGCTAAATCACGGAACTCAAATTTTAGATCAGGTCAGTACCGATTCATTCACTGCTAAACTGATGATAAAAATATATACAATCGTCATGCAACAAAAACTGATATCAAGATAAAAGGCTTTTGTGGGTGTGTAATGGTCCCTTTTTGACAAGGCTGTCGATTTAAACAATAGCTGTATTGAATTGCTTTGTTAATTCAAATATATTAGCTGAACTTAGTAGGTCATTGTTGTCATAATTTCTAGTTGATTCGTACTTGTTATATAATAACTAAAAAAAAGAAAATATGTTGTACTAATTCATGAGACAAAATCACTACAAGCACATGAAAAAACAGTATCACTTTAGTGTGTTTCTTCATCTTGAAGTCACATTAATGCATTCAACATGGAGCAAAATCTCTGCCCTTACTGCAAGTTCAAGACCACCATTTTTAACACCAGTTGGATCGGAATTCTTTGCTAGATTGCGATATAGTTCGATAAATATATTGACTGTATTTGATATGTATTGATTGATGTCTTCTGTCATCCATTTTAAATTGTCGACTGTGATTTATCAATGAAAATCCTTCACAGTAAATATTTTACATTTCCCAACAGGAAGTTAAATCGCATTAATTACACTTTATTAACTAACTTTCAACTTAAATCATTTTGATCATGCAATTAAAGGTTATATTGGACTTATATGTATCTTTACCAATAATGATCGATAGTTTACTATACCAACCCTTGATTTAAAAGTATAACAATATATTTCATTCAGTTTAAATACCGTTAGACATGAGTACGTTTAATTCAATGCACCATTCAATTATTTACTGCCGAAATAAATAAATATAATGCACTCATTACATAGGTGTGTATGGTAAATTGAACCCATTTCAAGTCAATACAAACAGTAAATATTTGGATCGTTTGCGAGGTGTTGACAAGTAACAGCAATAAATCATACCATTGATAATCAACTCAATTTAACAAGTTTTCAATGGACTGTATGCCAGTAGTTGATTGTATATTATTTTGATGACTTAGATAACATTTTGAAAGAGTCCAGGTTACCCGGGAGTATGCTGATATCGGATCGATCACTCTTAACGTCGGTCAGGTAAGTCGTTTTCATTACCACTGTATCATCGCCACCGGAAATTGGGTACCAATTAAGCAGAGAGCGAGGACGAAAATAATTAACAAGGTAAGATTTCTTTCATAAAAACCATATCTACCAATTTGATAAAGTGAAAGGCTTATGAATTCATTTTCCTTTCTACGCTGCTTTAGTTTTTATGCCTGCAAGTACAAAACAAGTTTTCTGTTTTTTTTCCCCAATTGTACACCTGGAGCCTGGCAATTTTCAGGTTCATCGCCTACCGTCTTCACACAGGACATACATTGTTGTTCACTCTTTTTCTAGCTGAATTTCAAAAATATGACATTATGACTTTATATTCGCTGAAATTTTGCTACGAATGATCTTTTTAAACTGTAATGAACAAAACAATTAACATTTACTGTAAGTAAATTGCAAAGCGGTGTACGGCGTCTTCCAATCAACTGCTACTGTATGTAAAGATGTCATTGAGATTAATCACCACTATTCTTTATAATGTCAAGGGGGTGTGGTATAAATATCCTTGCATGAGCATTTTTTTTTTTGATATACGAAATAGCAAATATATAATTATAAGTATACTCTCTTACGATCCTATGATATGTCATCTGTACTGTTCAATCACAGATTATATTCTACTTAGTTATAAATATATCGTCATTAAACAATTTGTCCTATGCAAGAAAAATGTATCCATTGTACAGATTGATTGATTGATTGTTGGTGTTAAACGCCACTTTTAGCATTATTGGTTATTTGGAAGCGGTTAGTTTACATTGGTGGAGAAAGCTGGAGAAAATCACCGACCTTTGACAGAAAAGCTGACAATCTTAGTCAATTAAGTTTGGAATCTAAAGCTTCTGTTAGTGCGAGGTTCGAAGCCACAACCTCAGTGTTGACAAGATAGGGATTCAGTAATTGAACTACATAGTCCACTCGCTCACCGAGTCCCTCCTTCCCCATTGTAATACGACTATATACAACATACTTAAAGTTACAGCTCTAAATCAGGTTAAAAATTAGGTAACAAATTAGAAAAAAATTCGTAAGGGTTCCGCGGAACCCAATGTCTCGCCTACTTTTGCTGTTAGTCGCAGGCTCAACAAAAATGGGGAAAAAAATATTTAAAATTTTCCTCTAGATACTATCTTTTGATTGTAAGAAGTTCTGTTCAAGTTTGGTAAAAATCCAAGAAGGTTTGTGATTAATTTAATAAATGTTTTAAAAACTTTAACTGCAGACTGTACGTAATGTTAACTGGAATAAAACTAAGTCCATTTATAAGTAATATACGGAAAAACAGGAAATATATTTTTACCAAATTTCCCTCTAGATACTAGCTTTTGATCATAAACAAGCTTCTGTCCAAGTTTGGTTCAAATCCAGGATAGTTTAAGAAAGTTATTAAAATTTTGAAAGCTTTAACCACAGAGTGAATGTAATGTTAACTGGCAGAAAAAACTAAGTCCATTTATAAGTAAAATACGGATAAACAGGTTTTAACAAAATGTACTTTTGAATACTATCTTATGATCACAAACAAGCTTCTGTCCAAGTGTGGTACAAATCCAGGATAGTTTAAGAAAGTTATTAAAATTTGAAAAATTTTAACCACAGTGTGAATGTTATGTTAACTGGCAGAAAAACTAAGTCCATATATGAGTAAAATACGGATACACAGGATTTTTTTTTTTAGAAAATTTTCTTCTGGATACTATCTTATGATTATAAACAAGCTTCTGTCCAAGTTTGTTACAAATCTAGGATAGTTTAAGAAAGTTATAAAAATTTGAAAAACTTTAACCACAGAGTGAATGTAATATTAACTGACAGAAAAACTAAGTCCATTTATGAGTAAAATACGGATAAACAAGCTTCTGTCCAAGTTTGTTACAAATCTAGGATAGTTTAAGAAAGTTATACAAATTTGAAAAACTTTAACCAGAGTGAATGTAAATATTAACTGACAGAAAAACTAAGTCCATTTATGAGTAAAATACGGATAAGCAGGATTTTTTTTTTTACAAAATTTACTTCTGGATACTATCTTATGATCATAAACAAGCTTCTGTCCAAGTTTGGTTGAAATGCAGGATAGTTTAAGAAAGTTATAAAAAATTGAAAAAATTTAACCACAGAGTGAATATTTGTGGACGCCGCCGACGACGACGACGACGACGCCGACGGAATGTAGGATCGCTATGTCTCGCTTTTGCGACAAAAGTCGCAGGCTCGACAAAAACGGATATTTTGGACTTTAGATCGAAGTTACATTAATATCTTTTTTTTTATTTGAATTTAACGACATTGTTAGTGCTTTATTTTAATGGTAAATGTGTTATGCTAATAAGGATTCTAAAAGTAGAAAGATTGATTGGAATCTTATCGACAGTTTGCATACACTCACTGTACGGAATATACTGTGTGCCAAGAGATCTTTGGAGATTTCCTGTTAAACAGAGGAACATTTTCCCACTTCCAAACATAAGTCAAACTTTTGAGAAAAACTTTGGATCATTTTTGTTATTAAAAATGACAATAAGTGAGATTATTCATTATCTGTTTAGACATGAAATTAATCTTCTTAATTTGAAATGATTATCTTAAAACATACGTTTAGCATTCTATGTTTATTTTTTTTTAATAGTATTTCACAAGAAAAAGTGAACTAAAACACTGCCTAGAATATAATTGTATACTGAATTTTAGATCTTAAGAGGAAGTCTGTATAGTGCAGTTACTGTTTTAAATTGTACTCCATTGCTACATTACGAACACTTATAAGTGTATTTCGCTGAACGTGCTGAGTTGGCATTCTGGTACCATGTTTATTTAAAGTGAAATGTATTGAATTCAGTATAAGGGTTATTGGTATAGGCCAGCTGCTTTACTGCAGGTAAGAGTTGCAGTGTTCTCAAAAGGACAAAATTTAGCCAAAACTCTGCGTGATTTGGTAGATTTTGTTTTCTTGTCACACGTCGTTGGTACTCTTTAAATGGAAGTTGTATTTTGAAAGACAAATATTTCTTCCATTTAATGATCACAATTAAAAATATATTTATGTCGTTATATATAAGTATAATAATTGTGTTATTGGGTGTCAGGGTGTACAGCTATTGTCGTATTGGTTGTGCCGGTGAATTTTCGAAAGTCCCTTAATACTAGTAACACAAAAAAAAATTGTTTTAACTGTGCATTCTCAGGATCCAAAAATAAAAGTAAAGGTGTTTGGCAGAAGGGGATTGTCTTTGACTGGAGTGTCCGTCTTTTCTGTTCGTACTACATTTGCATGAATAATATCATTAAATGCCTACAGTTTGCTTTGTGTCCAAGGAAATGAATTGATCTAACAAATAAGACTTCCACTTGTTTTAACACTAAAAGTAGCACGAGGAGTTAATTTTGTATTTGTTTTTTGTTTTTCCAAAAGGTGTAACTTTATTAAGATGATAGGTATTTCGCTGACAGGAATATGTGAAACAATTCAAACAAGGAAACTAACGGCCGTATAAAAATTCAGTTTACCAAAAGTAATGACGGGCATGAACCGACGACAACCACTGAATTACAGACTCCTACCATGCCACAGGTTACCAAGACTACCAGGTGCTTCATTTTGTAGTATGATATAAAATCTTGTTGGCATGAAATATACAAGCAGCATACGTTAGAAAATCACGTCATGAGCTTTAAACATAATAAAATAGATGAGAATGAATTAAATAATTAAATTCGTACCTTTCTGTCCTCTCTCTCAACTTCGTTGGTACCGATTTCCAGTAGCGATGATACTTTAGTATAATGGCATCATGCGCACCTATATAAACCAAAATATCATTACATACCAATTTACTATACCGTTTTGTAGTAATTATGCAAAATAGCAACTGTATGCTTGTTATACCAAAGACAGAGTAACCTCAAAGAAGAAATATGACTCAAAATAGTATAAGTAGAAATTATATTGCCGAATTATTAAGTTTATATTGTTTCGAACTAGGAAGTTATTTCAATTTTTTAAATAATGTTATCGTTTTCTTAGCAAAATCCGGTAAAAAAGCTTCATGAAGTAAGAAAATGTAGAAGTACAAGTTCTCAAGTGCAAAATTTACCTTCACTTTTTCCTGAGATAAACTGTAACATTGTGTTATAAGTTGTATGCACCTCTTGGCCATTTTTGGTGTGTTGGATCATTTTTATATATACATTTACTACAGGGTCTTCATAAACATGATGAACTGTCACTATATAAATCAATCTTATAACACAACCAAACAGCGAACATACGGATCGGCTAGAAATGCTACATACACAGGAAAATATACACAAGTCTTAAAACAAGTCTTACGATTTGTGCAAGAGTGGCGGAAGATACCAAAGGGATAGTCAAACTCATGATAAGTCAAACTGATAACGCCATAGCAAAACACAAAAAACGACCAAACGACAAAAATAGTCTACACAAAACAACACAGAAAACTATAGACTGAGTAACAGGAACCCCACTAAAAGCCGATGGTGATCGTATGTGCTTCGGAGGTTAAGCAAATCCTGTTCCATATGTGGCACCCGTCCTGATGCTCATGTTAGTCCAGACCCGTTATTAATTCGTTAAATGAGATTACAATAATTAAGATTTGTACAACGATAGCGAAAATAGATATTTAAGAATATACGAAACATTTTTTTATTGCGTACATGTGGATACGCAAATATTTTGGCACTTTAAATGAATCAAAACGATGTTTATGCATGTATCATAAAAAATACAGACGTAGGTTGTTTATTGTGTCAAAATATTTGTCTTTCTGAACAATATGATTACATCTTTTCTTTTTGCCTTTACATATCATTTTATTTATATGTTTACACGTCTTTCGTCTAAACAGTTATAACTCTTCGAGAGCCTTTCTCTATTGGATAACCTGGGGATTTCCACTCACTCGATTGAGTGATGGACCCCCCTTTTTATATATATTTTGTTTAGTTGTTGTTGT